TTTAAGTTTTTGGTTGGTTTTTTTTTGACATGTCATGAATAATTGTGTTTCAAAAACCTTTGTAAAACATTCATACAGATGTAAAAAATGGAAAAATCTTTCAATTAAATGAAATTATTTTAATTTAATTTTGTTTATTTACCAGCACTGACACTGCTGTGAGACTTCCAGTCCCACAGGAGTTTTACTGACAGAAACCCTCAGGAGATCAAACACTCTCCAACCTTCTTTTTTCTACTGTCAGTAGCTAAACAACAATTTTTTTGATACTCATTAAGTTACTGTTTTGAACACATGTCAAGTAATATAACTTTTACGCACAGTCTAATTGTTCATTCCCTGTCAGATCTAACTGACATTAAGAAAAAAAAAAGACAGGCTGACTCACCCTCACTGTGACAGTGTGGTTAGGCACTGCTTTCAGGTGGCACAGAGGAGGGGCACACTGAGGCATCCTGTTGAGCTCTTCAATGGGCGTCCCCAGCCAGGTTCGGTCCATGCTTTTTAAAGCAAATAAATTTGGGAGGAAGAGAAAAATTATGATTAAGAACAGGGTAAACAACATAAAAGATGTTTTTCCAAGTTAAACAAAATACACAGTGTAACTAACACAATTTAATAAACATGGTTAGAACAAATAGCTATAGTTTGCCCACATGATAAAGGGAACAGACATTATCATGTCCCTTGAGTAAACATGAAAAAAACCCATTGATCCCTGGTCACTATGTCAGAAAAGTGTGTACCTCACATATTAGCTGTGTGTTCTGTAGCACAAAAAGTTCAAGATCTGACACAAAATGTTCCATTTCTATTTCTGCATGAACTTGTTATGGTGTGCAGTAGATTATATTAGATGTCAATGATCCCACACTGGGGAAATTGATTAATTGCAGCAGCAGAAAAAACAGAGAATGACAAGGAGTAAAATAAATACAAAAATAGAGATAATAAAAAAGAAAATATAAAGATAGTAATTATATCATATACAGTACTATAAATAATTTAATTAAATTAATTAAGTCTATCCCTTAATATTTACACAAAGAAATGCTGTGATCGGCATTGAAGCTGTATATATTGTATAGATACTGCACAGAAGCTGATTATTGTATATAGCACTGGTTGTATTTTTAAATGGAGGTGTATGGAGGTTTGAGAGCGAATGAAAGTACTTAGCATACCTGAGACCTGGCTGGCTACTGATTACATCCTGGCTCATATCAGATGATGCACTGCCCTCTGCTTCATTAGTTCCCATGGAAACCATATGCGTTCTTTCTTTGGCTAAACTTCCAGAGTTAGAGTCGATGACGAATAATGGCTGTGAAAATTCTCCCTGAGACTCTGTAAAGCTTTCATCAGCTGCACCAGCAGCAGCAGCAGCCCTGTCACCGTGGTCTTTGTCCGAGTGGTTGGTCAGGATGGACTTACAATTGGGACTGTCAGGACTTAGCATCTCTACATCACTGGGTGTACCGATGCCCTTTCTGGGACTATTACTAAGACAGAGTGTGAGTTTGGGACTGGGGGAGTGTGTGTCTACACAACTGGTCTTCACAGGATGAGGACCAGGTGAACTTGTCCTCTTGGATTTCTGTCCATTAGAACAGTGTGACTGAGTCACGCTGCTGTTGCTGCTTGTAGCGAAATCACATTCCTTCTGCCCTCTCACAGACCCACTGTCTACTGAGCTCCACAGTGCTCTCTCTTCTGGTGGGCTCTTAGAGGTTACGCCGTCTTCTGCAGTCTCATGATTCTGCGGTCGACAAAACTGTTCTCCTTTTCCATCTGATACAGCTGCCAATGGAAAATTATTCTCGGCAGCTTCGGGTTCAGGATCAGCAGTCACACTGAAGTTGAAGAAGAAGAAGAAGTAGTAAACATGTTAGAAGGGAGAAGAGTATTTGTGCAGTGTCAAAACACATGCTGTATGTTTACTATTTTATTTGTTTTTCAATTTGATTTTCTTTTCCTTTCTTATTCGTTTTGTTCATTCAGCTGAACATGTATCCAAGCAACTGTTTGATTAAACAAAAAATTTACAATTTTACAATTACTACTGGTACTGTGATTATTTCATTATATTTTTAATAAAGTTTTCCGAGCTTGACACTGGCACTGTTGGTGGCTGTTGTGTGTTGCCGCTATACGATACGGAAGTGTCTCATTCTCACATACATTTAAATAAAGAATGCACACAGCTGGACTGAAACCCTGTTGTCAAGTTAGTTATGGCAGAGAAGGGACCTAAACTAGAAAGTAATCTGGAATAGGAAGAAACATGGTAATAGTTGAGCACACAAAGCGTGGCGTTCTTACCTTTTTTGAGATTCCATCAGCTCATCCATTATGGACAGGTCATTCCAGCTGAATTAAAAAAAAACATATTTAAACAACACAACCGTAATGTGAAAGCACTTTACAGTAGTTCACAACCATGTAACTCATGATTCGAGGTTTCTGTTTGATGTTTGCGACCATTTCAGTGAACGCATACAAGTAAAAGAGGCTCTTCGCTTCAACAAAGCTAGCCGAACAAGCAGCCGTAAAGATGAGGTCTGACGTGAACTGCCTCGTGGAATGACACACGTTTTCTTTCTGGCCAAACTGCTAACTAATAGTTTAGCTCAGCTCACAGCTTTTGTAAAACGAGTCTAGTTAGTCGTGTGGTAGCTGCAGCTAACTTAGCGCTAACGTTCAACAATGTTAGCTGCTAGCTTTTAGTATTGTTCACACCGCAGACATACATGTAGCCTGACCTAGCTGGCAATACACTTTTAAACCATAAAAAACTACTTACGACCATGTACGTCTTTAGGTAAACCCTCCGGGTTGGACAAGTTACATCATGGTACACGTAATTCACATGAAACCATCATAACGTAATGCCCCGGTAACTGTTGTGCTTTCACGTCATTGTTGTAGCTGCTTCTCCTTGACGGCTGTAGCAGGCCGACCAATCAAAACGCCCAGAACGAAGGGAACCGAAGTAAAGTGCATCGAATGGGAAAAGCTGTCGCACAAACTTGCAATAGGTTTGAATTTATATTTTAAATGTTTTTACGAAAACATTTACTCAACAAACATAGATATCAAAACAAATGTAATTCTAAATTTTTATTTTAGTTTAAATATAACTTGTTATCATTGCATTCTGTACCACATTTTTCGCTATACTGTATTTACAGAGTAAAAATGCACGAGGAAAGTAAAACGTAAATTGTTTAAGTTTATTCAAAGGGCAGAGACAGAAATGAGAATACTGTGTTTTCTTTAATTTTTGCAGCTTTGACAGGAGATTAGAGGTTGTATATTCAAAGCATTTAATTTATACATTTTACATCTGACAGTGGTATCACCAGTGATTATAAGTAATGTCTTTCTGGTATGAAGTGAATAACATAGGTAAATGTAAAGGAGCATCTTTTAGATACCTTCATTATGTGTTTCATTGTCATAAAAATGGATACTTTTAATTTCTTGCATTTTTTGTCATTAAACAATCCAAAGCCTTTAATAATTTATTTTACACATATTTTCTAAAAAATAAACATTTTCTTTTCTTATTAATTTGCTGAGACATGTTAATCATAAGTGCAAACAATGCTGTTAGTACAAAAATGCAGATGTTTTGGATAATGTGAAAACTGATTATGTAATACGTTATTGCATTGCATTGCATTGCATATTTGAGAGGAAATGCAGGGAGGCAAAAAAAAAAAAAAAAAAAAGGAAACTGTTGTTTTTGTCAGTCAGTCAACAGCCTCTCCCAAGTGTCTCAGGATCTCAGGACATTGGTTTCACAATCTTCATGGAGATGTAATTCTGTGAACAGAAGAACACCAGAGCCAATAAATATTAAACTAATGAAAAATAAATATAATCATATTTCAATTTCTGTATCTCTCTATCTTGTAGGTCTCAGAACTAGCCGTGATGGTTCTTACAGGAAGGGAGTACAACATGATCCCTAAGAACAGGAACAGTGGCGGGAGAAGAAGGTATAGGATGTAAATCCATCGGAATCTCTTCCAAATAATGAATTTCATGGTCTTGCAGGGGTTTGTGAACCAGAAGAATGACGTGTCAGGGCGACTGTTGGAAAACCAAATACAAACAGCAATGTTCACATTTTATAAAATGATGTAAAAAAAACAGCCATGGCAACAACACAACAACTACAACAACTAACCGCTACAAAGCCTTGTTTCTTACTTGGGTGGTTCCAGTTTAGGATTCATGTTGGGCTCATCTCTGCCTTTTCCAGCTGGTCTCTCATCCATATCTTGCTCCTCCACTATTTCCAAAGTCATCTCCACTTTACCCTACAGTTTTAAATACATGTTAAAAGCATTCACAAACTGATTTAATGAACTGATCTGCAGACATGAACATACAGTCAGCACACGTTTCCCGTCTTGTTCCATGAAACAAGGCCACCAGCCCCTCGCAGACTTTTGGGAGAACAAGGAAGGGGCTTTTTTGGGTCTGTGTTTTTTGGAGCCTGTATCCCCCGGCAGCATCTTCAGGCTGCACTTCTCTGGTGTCCTGGCAGGAGGGATCAGATGAAGAAGGTCCAGCTCAAGGGAACCTGCAACAAAAATAGGACAAAATTTGAAAAAAAGGGAAAGTACATACACACTACATACTACATATACAGTATTACATACGTGTTGACCAATTTGAAAAAAAGGGAAAGTTATACCACATATACAGTATTACATACGTGTTGACTGGCTGTGTTCTCACCTAAATAGTCATCCAGGGAGAATTTGTCATTGTCCCATATCTGGATCATCAGTTTAGGGGGAATCCTGAATTCAGTTTTGTCCAGATTCCAAAAGTGTTCCTGTAGAACAAATGACTTCACTTAGATTTTTTTTGTCCTTATCACAGGTCATATTTTTTTTTTCTGCTTTAATATTTTACTTGCCTTTCTGGACATGAGACACAGCTGCTCCGCAGGCAAGTAGTCAAAGCTAAAGACAAATCTCCAGTTAAAATTCCCATCACCGTCCAGAGATCTGTAGTGCACATCGGTTTTCTGCTTGTCTTCCTCCATTCCTGCCATCCACCTGGAGAACATGAGCATGTCTGATTAGCGTTAGCATTATCGTTAAAGTATGCAGTAGTGTTTGACGGACAGTTGCACAAGGTCATCATGTTGTCCTATATGTCTGGAAAATCACGGTGAAAAGACTCATCATCAGGAAACTTAATGTTGCAAAATCCTAGTCAGTCTTCTGTATTTTCTGGATTAATCATCACAACAAACTTAAGAGGAAATAAACATATTGCACAAGTTGCACCAATCTGTTAGTCACATTTATTTATAAATACTTATTTCACATGAAACAAACATTTAATCTGGAAAAACTAAACATAGGATAGCCCATGTCTTAGCATTCAGAGGATTAATGCTAGTTAAGGTAGTTAAAGGAGGATTGCAGGTTTCACTCTCACAGTGACTGCATTCAGATGTCATCAGTCTAGATGTTGCCCTCTTGTAGAGTGTATCTAGATGATATGGGGTACAGTCTTGATACATAAGTCGCAGGACAAACAAAACTATTAAATGTGGGCAATTTATAGTGTGGAAAATATGGTAAAAGGAACAGATGAAAAAGTACTTCACCCTTTAACGTAGATGTCGCTCATATTTTCTCCGGTGATGCTTGTTTCATCCATAATAACCTCAGTTGTGTTCCAAATAACAGCCCGCAAAAAGTACCTGTTGAAAAACCACAGAATTAATTAGGTATTATTATTATTATATACTGAAATATAATCAATGATGAAGCCATACAAATTTGGATATAATACAGTATAAAATAAATATATATTTCATTATACAATGTGAGAAACACTGTAAAAGAACATAAACAAATGAGTCCCTGTGATGGATCAAAGTTTCTCTTACTTCCTGGCTTTGCGTGGAGTGATATCACATGGTGGTCCTGGCAAACCGAGGTTCTTGGGAAAAATGTCAACCCACATTTGTATTTCTCCCTGCATAGGTGGAAAATAATTTAACCTTTAAACCCTGTTTTAACACAGACATGTACGGCATTTTCAATTATTGACTTGACTGCTGGAAAACCTGGGACAGGTTGGGTTGATGTGAACTGTACAGGGTTCTTGTTTCCACGTGCTCTGGTACCAGACCCTGGTTTCTGAGGACGTGCAGAGCTAGTCTCTCTCTAGGCGGGCCCAAATGTGAGTGGATCACAGCATCGGCCTCTGCAAATGAGTTTTATTTACTTTTATTTTGGATTCGTAACAACATAATACAGCACCTAAAATAACAACACATGCTGTTACACATGCTATGAGGTGTTGTATTAACTGTTGTACCAAAATCCTGCAGGTTGTACAGTTTCCCTGAGAAAGTCAGTGATTTTTCATCACTCTCTATCTGTGGAGCAGGGACCCCCCTCACTTTAGCCAGGTTCTGCAAGATCTGAGAAGGTTTCTGCTGATCTCTCCACTGGTTGATCCCTGACCTGGAACAAAAGTGCAGTGAAGTGCACATGTATCAAATAATACAAAAACTAAAGTTTTAGTAAAACACAAATTTGGAGACAAACACAGACGATACACTTACACACAGTACGACTGTGGCAGCCCACAGCAGGACATGAACCGAGACAGGAGTCTGTTCTCCAGGTCTATGACCGTCTCACCCACTTTTTCATCTCTGCTAAATAGGTCAAAGTCATACACTGCAATCTTCAGGTCCTTGTCCTGAGGCAGGAAGCACGACATCTCAAACATCCTGGGAAAAAAATTCAACAAATTATACTGGGATTTAAAAATGTCATAAACAAAGTCTGATCATTATTAAAACAATACAAAAAACATGTGTTTTTCAATAACATTGTTCCATCCCAATCTCACCTTCCCATCTCTGGATTCAGTGTGTTTGGACAGTAGTTTTCTCTGTCGTCCAGGGTTTTTTTCCCGAGTGTAATCTTCACATATGGATCACACTGATATGGAAACATTTGATTCATTTCAGCAGCTCAATAACAAACATAAAATACGAGGAATTGGAACTGAACCAGAACAACTGATGGAGAGCAGCTGTGTGGTAGACTAACCAGTCCATTTGTGTCCTTTGGCTGCAGATTAATACAGCGGACCACATAAATTCGGACCAAACACTCCTGAGGTCCACTCCCGGGAAGTTCCCGAAATTGGCGAGGTGGAGCTGGCATCCCAGGGTCGTCAGGCAGCGGGTAAATTTTGAACGATCCCTTTAAACAACATGACATGAGACGTGTGAAAAAACGCTCGTTACAATGAAACAAATCAGTTTCATTGAGATAAACCTTTTCAGTTATTATGACACAGCTTTTACATTACATTTCCTAACATTTCCTTTGTCTCTCCCTGGAGTCAAGATCTTGAACTCGTTGCTCCAGGTTTATTAAACGTGCACTGTAGTTCATAACATAACCACTAGAGGTAGACACAGGCTACGTATTTTAACGGAGAAAAAAAATCTCAAAATTGTGCTTTTGCTACATTTCTACCTAGAAATCTTACCTTAAATTCGCCGACCAACGTAGGGTCGTCTTCATCATCATCATTTTTTCCACGCTGAAGTTTGAAGGTGCTGCAGAAATCGGTGAGTCCCTGAAAGTCTTCAACTTCCTCTAATTCACTCTTATACACCTGAAAAAACAAAACAAACAAAAAACCAAAAACATTACATTACAGTACTAAAAGAGCCATTGGAAAAACTTAAGTTTAAATATTTTTACACTTTGTAACTAAAACTCTATATTTAGTTTGTGTCAAGACATTGTGAAACCCTTGTGGTTTGAATGAAAGTGACTGCAAACAACAAGGACAAAGGACAAAACAAGGACTTCTGGTCATGACCCTCTGGAATTTGCCACAGGAATTTGATGCAAAAAAAAAAAAAAAATCCCAAACTAAGCTCATAAAACCAACACAAAGCAGTGCAGAGATTATCAGATTTTCAGCCCTTGTATTTCCAGAACACATTACTACCTGCAGCGTGTCATATCCTTTTTCCAAATATGGACCGCACTTTTCCACCTCTTCTATTGAGGCGTAGAACTTGCTCCACCAGTCTACGGTCTCTTCATCCTGCAGAATACACACATCAGATACTTCCAGATCTGGTTGTGGAAAATGTACTGTATGTGTATCAGAAACTGTTCCTTCAAGAAGGAAGAATTTACCTTTTGTGTTTTAAGCTGTAAAAAAGTGGGAATAGAGAATGAGAAAAGGAAACATTTTGTTAGATGCAGTATATGCATCTGTAGGCTGGTTTACCTCAGCTGTGATGATGGGCCTCTCCTCGATGTCTATGACAACGTCTTCCTGCACTGTAGCCATCATGTCCACTACAAAATTAAAGGATTGCATTAACTCTATCGTTGTGTAACTGGAAGTGTGTTTAAAGTGTATTTGTATGTACAGTGTGTGAAAGTACAGTTTATATTTTATGTTCATACCTCTGCCAGACATGCAGACCTCATTGTTATTGCGATACGGGTCACAGCGGAACTTATCCAGGCAGTCGATGGTGCACTGACCCACCACGGGTTTCCTTCCAAAGGGTCGGTGGTCGATCACTTTCAGCACTATAGGAGGGGTGTACATCTCCTCCTTGGGGAGAGGCTAATTAACGAGAAGAGTAACAAATTATATTAAAGAAATCAGAGAAATTGACAGGCAGTTCATTTTTGTTAAGTTTCACGTTTATTACCACTTTGAGGAGCAACAAAGATCCTGGGAAGTTTGGGTTCTTTCTGAAGTTCTTGATCACAGCAGTTTGAACGATCTCACCGCCACACTCCACAATCAGACTAGGAGAAGACACAGTGGCCAACTGGTAGGTCTTCATGTTCCTCAAACCCCAAGTCAAAACCTGGTGAGGAAACCAGCACATAAAGACATTTTACAGCCCCAAGCTTTGATCAGCGATGGGAAAGAAAACAAGAGGTTGAGCAATGTACCTCGATGGCAGTGATCTGCACCACAGGTCTGATACCCTGAGGAACCATGTAGAGCACCTCCCCTCGTCGAGGAGGAACCAAAGGAAAATCTACTTCATTCTCCTGTGGGGTAAACAAGGCAGTACTGTTTACACCAAAACTGTACAAGGTGAATTCTTTGATGCCAATTCTCTATCTTCTTTACTTTGTCCTTCAG